TTTATGACATCTGTCCAGTGCAAGGCTTAATGTGGTCTTTACCCTAAAAGGATTCCAGCTGAAATACATGACAAGACCCAAGAGAGAAATCCTAAAAAAGCCTGAGAAGGCAATGCACCAGTATTAGCTATCCCATGATGTGTATGCACCTGTATGGTACCTGCACATCAGCAGCTTACCACGTATGAACCATTTTCACAAGCATCTTGAGGCAGCTTTGTGGAAATTTACAAGGACTTCATCTAAATCAGAAAGTTAGAATGAGAGAAAACACCAGGAGCTTGTTTGAAAATTTATCAACTGCAAAATGGCATCCACTGTTCAACATCTCAATAGCGAATGAAAGATGAGAAGGAGAATGGGAAAAGCCTTTGAAAGTGAAGATGAGGCAGCTTGTATTTGATCCAGTAGACAAAGGGGACTCAAATAACTAGACTTCTTTGCATGTGTGTTAAAAGCCTTTTTGTTTCTTGACATATCACTTGCAAGTTCAGGTGGTGGCACAATGTGGGGGTGAATGATCTGGGTTCCTTGGAGAAAAGAGGAGGAGAAATAAGGCAATAGCAGCCCCTTTGCTTCACTATGCTCTCCATTAGCATCCTCCTACGCGATGTGTGCTTCCTTATGCGTGACAGAGGCCTGGCTGTACATTCCTCCTTGTCCTCTCACCTGGGTACTTACCTATTAGGCACCTATGAGCAGGACTAGCCAGGCATGCACTAACACAGCAGCACGGAGCAGTAGCAATGGTTTTTGTCATTGGTGCAGGCAACAAGCCCTGCTAGAAATCCAGTGTGCCATCTTCTACCATATGTCACAGAATACTGGAAACCACAGTGGATGTTATCCCAGAGCAAAAGATTTGAAACATCTGGCAATTTTACTCAGGTAAACTGCCAGACTCGGCACACGTGTGCAATGTGCGCAAGAGGCGACTGAGACAGGAATCCTTCCTGGTGGGGTCATGGTCCTGCTGTTGCAATGGACTGTTGCTTTTCATAGTAATGTATCTTGTTTCTAAAAGGACAGTTCTCATCTCCTGCCTATCACTGTCCAGATAAAATGCATTCATTAAGGTACATATTTATTAATATATTCATTCCCACCTGTCTCTATGATCTCATCCTCCCTAACTCTCATCTATTCTATGTTAACCCATTATGCACTGCCAAATCCTACAGGAGCTCTCTAGAGCAGCTCTTTTGCTTATTTGCTAGTATACCACTTAGTACTAGCTCATTTGAATCCCTTTTTGTAACCTTTGGTCATAATATAAGAAGACAATAAAGCAATATTTGTACTTTTCTGTCACTACCAGCAGCTTTGCAGCAGAACCAGGCTTTTTGAATAACATGCACATTTTTGTAGAGTGGCTGTTATGAAATATGTCCTTGTCATTTTTCTAGGGCCATTCAGCAGCAGATGCCAGACAGGTTAATTATTACTATTTATTTGTGTAGGAAAGGTCATTAGAGTTGTCTGCAGTAGAGAGCACACATGCCTTTTAGGCAAAAAGCAGATGCTGTATGGATGGAGGCTGTAGAAGCCACCTGCTCACTGCACCTTGCTGTGATGCTTCTGCCTTCAGGCTGGAAGAACCACTTTTAGGAGTCAGGAACAAAATTAGTCACTTTGACCGGTTCTGCCCTTCCCTCTCTGGTGCAACTGGCAAGGAGGGAGCTAATTTTGGATAGTCATTAAATTTTGTGATCTGATGTTTTAGTTTCACCTAGGTAGGGCTGCCCACCAAGCCCACGTCAGCCACTGCAGAACAAGCCTCAGGAAGAAAGGAGAGTGTCAAACAGCAAAATAAAAACTCTGAACTTAGTCCTAACCTCCAAAGCTACTAGGCCTCCTTGTCCATTAATAAATCTTTAACCCAAAACTAGCAGTGCATTTCTACTTTGTAAATGTTAACTTTCAGGTCAAAGGTAGTGTAGATGTGCGTGGGGTATTCACACACTACTTTACTTCATGCTCCTTCTCCTAGTCAAAAGAAATAACTATGATCTTTCAGCTGGATTTCCCACACTGCACTGACTCTGGGATGGTTAATTTAGTCAAGAAAGAGCTGGAGTTTGTCTTGTAGTAGACATCTTTCTGAGGAAGTCTGCAGTAGTATGCTCAGTAGGAATTCACAGAATCACAGACTCACAGAATGGTTGAGGTAGGAAGGGACCTCTGGAGATCATCTAGTCCAACCCCCCTGCTCAAGCAGGGTCCTCTGGAGCACACTGCACAGGATTGCACACAGACAGCTTTTGAATATCTCCAAGGAAGGAGATTCCATAACCTCGCTGGGCAACCTGTTCCAGGGCTCAGTCACCCTCACAGCAAAGAAGTTTTTCCACATGTTCAGACAGAACTTCCTGTGCTTCAGTTTGTGCCCGTTGCCTCTTGGCCGGTGGCTGGGCACCACGGAGAAGAGTCTGGCCCCATCCTCTTGACAGCCTCCATTCAGATACTTATACACGCTGATAAGATCACCCCTCAGTCTTCTCTTCTCCAGGCTCAACAGGCCCGGCTCTCTCAGCCTTTCCTCCTAGCAGAGATGCTCCACTCCCTTCATTATCTGCGTAGCCCTTCACTGGACTCACTCCAGGAGCGCCATGTCTCTCCTGCACTGGGGAGCCCAGAACTGGACACAGTACTCCAGGTGAGGCCTCATCCGGGCTGAGCAGAGGAGGAGGATTACATCCCTTGTCCTGCTAGTAACACTCTTCCTAACGCACCCCCAGGACACCCCTGGCCTCCTTGGCCACAAGGGCACATTGCTGCCTCATGCTTAACTTGTTCACCAGGACTCCTGGGTCCTTCTCTGCAGAGCTGCTTTCCAGCAGGTCAAACCCTAGCCTGTCCTGGAGCATGGGGTTATTCCTCCCTAGGTGCAGGACCCTGCACTTGCCTTTGTTGAACTTCAGGAGGTTCCTCTCCACCCAACTCTACAGCCTGTCCAGGTCCCTCTGAATGGCAGCGCAGCCTTCTGGTATATCAGAATTTGTCCATGCAATTTTACTAGGTTTGGAACTAGAGTTTCTGTGTACTGATGAGCCCAAGGGGTGCAACAAGCTTTATTTCACTGGTATAAAACCAAAGCAGGAAAAAGAAAGCACATATCTATATTTAATAGTATTTGCAGCAGAAATAGGCTAAGCAGCCTATTAGAAGTTAGATTTCACAGACTCTTTGGAGAGCATGGAGAGCTCTGATCATCTAAAGCAATTTCATGCGTGAACAAGCTGGAGGACGTCTCTTCAAAGCTATGTTAAAGCACGTCCTCCGGAAAGCCACCCAATTCTACCTGAAAAATTTGAAGTAATGATAAATCTTCTGCTTTCTTCCATACACTATTTCAAGTGTCATCACCCTCATTGTCAGGAAACTACATCTTATTTCAAGATCTGTTAGGCTTCAGTTTTTGGGAATCACAGTTTATTGCAACTTTGCATGCTCAGCTGGAAAGCCCTTACTCTGCTTATCATTTTTCCATGTGTAAGTACTCAAGCTTAGTGATGAAGACTTTATCCAGCAACTTCTCTTTCACTGGATATTCTCATGTACCATAAAGAAACACAGAGGGATCCCATATCCCACTTCCCCCTTTTTCTGATAAACCCGCACGAATGCAAGTAGATAATACTAAGAGCAATGCTTTAGTTTGTAAGGCCAATGTTTTCATCACCTGGTAAAAAGAGTTCTGCAGTTGATTAGGCATTTGAAATTAAACAGGATTGGCACTGGTTTTGTTCTCCTTCCCCTCTTCCATCTAACATCTATCCAGTATTTTTTCCAAAAACACATGTTCATCTGAAGCCCTAGTGCGCAGTGCTGTAGCAAAGCACAGCCTTAGAAAAGCTTTACCTCTGCGCACTTGCTGGTAACTTGCCAGCTAGTGACAGGTTCATCAATAATGATAATGGCTTTATGTCAAAGAAAACTAGTGCACTAAGCCATAGATATGCTCAGCCCTATAAAGAAATCAAAGTAACCAGCATCCTAATAAGGAAAGCCAGGCAGGAACACGACTTCTAATAGGAAGTGCTGGGTAACAAAAGAAGAAGAAATGGAAGGATAAAGCTCCCTTTGCTGAAAAAAGATGCCGCTTTTCCTACAGTAAAGTCTATCACCTCCTTATCAACTGAGAAATGATGCAAGCACTGACTTCACTGTACCTAACTGAAAAAATCTATTGACTGCTGATTAAGAAACAGCACTTTGTAACTCATTTGTGATAAATGGCGCATAGTGCAGCTGCCTTTGCAAATATTATTATCAATAATGAACACTTGCATTACAGTTGCACCCAAAACCCAGCTGGATGGGTTTTACATCCCTAAAGCCACTGGCATCTTTGCTCAAGATTGCTGCAAGAAGCAAGCAATCCTGTTGCTCCTAAAACAAAAATGTATACTCAGGAACTTAAGTGCTCATGGGTTGTCTATTTTTCTGTTTGGAAATCAGAAGGCATATTTGGGGGATTTTCCATATTTTGGACATATCCATACTTCTGACTGTGCCCACAGTCATCAATTTGGTCATAAATCGACCAGAAAGCTGTGCCAAGCCTTTTGAGAAGAGGGGAGGCTTGTTGTTCATTTGCTGTACATTTGACCTGTATGTGCATGGAAAGCCTAACACATCTCAAAAGTGTATGCAGGAACCACCTTCACTGACAACTCAGACTGACGGGACATTAGGTACACAGTGTCTGGGCATATATTTCCGCTGAGGAAATAGACAGAGTAGGTCCAATTTAAGGGAAATGAGTGAAAAGGTTTTGAGGTGTGATGTGTGTGTGTGTGTGTGTGACAGAGACAGAGACAGAAGGAGAGGGAGAGGAAGGGAGAGAGGGAGGGAGAGAGATGAAGGGAGGGAGAGCGAGACAGAAGGAGACACGGAGAGAAACAGGGAAAGAGAAATCAGAAGCAAAGAGAGAAACTGAGGCAGAGCAGAGGGACAGAGACAGACAAAAGGAAGGATAGAAAGAGAGAAAAAAAAAGAGAAAATAGAAACAGCAAGACATGAGCCAGTGAGAGAGGGAAATGGCAAGAGACAGAAACAGCAAGATACAGAAACTGCCAGACAGAGCCAGGGAAAGACAGAGAACGAGACAGAGGGAGAGAGACAGAGATGGAAGGTGAGAGAAAGAGATGGGGAGAAAGGGCAGGCCAGTGGGAGAAGTGGGAGGAAACACAAAGAGAGTGGGGACACAAAGGGGTCATATGAGGGGCCAGTGGAGGGGGGACAGGAAGGAGGATAGAAACTGGGGCCAGAGAAAGGGCGATGGGGTAAACAGAGGCTGGGTAGACAAAGCATCACAGAGGGCATGAGAAGATGAGGTGGGGGGACAGAAAGGGAGAGGGGGACAAAGAAGAGAAAGTTGAAACACATATAGAAGGAGGAGTGAAGCGTGACACAGGGAGAGCACTTGGTAGCGCGGCCCCAAGCCTGGAGCTGAAGCATTTTGTCGGCAGCTGAAAAAGGTGAGGTGCAAAGAGCAATCAAACTGCCTCTGGTAGCTCCTATTTTCAAAAAAGGGGAACTTAGCACGTCCTTTAAAAATAACCGTAACATCACCAGAATACATGACTCCATTACTCATTTCTTATCCTAAAAAGAAAGACTACGCCTTACTGTGGTTACCTGCTGAGGTCTAAACAAATAAGATTCTTTATCTGGATTGGAGATCTACTTATATTAAAATACCTAAGATGCTGGACTTATAATATATTGTATTAACACAGGTAAGAAACAATCACTACGCTCTTGCCTGTGACATAAAAAAAACACAAATGGTTTGGATTGGGCAGGGCACTGAATGTGTGGGAAAAAGATGAACACAGCTTTATTAGTGACAATTCAACATAGCTGTTCAGAGATTTTAAAATAGGTGTAAGGCAGAAGCATGGAAGGGATGGGGCAGCAAGGAAGAGGAAAATGGATGAAAAAAGATCTGGGAAAAGGGATGGTCATTCCAAGTTGCCCGCTGGATCCTGATCATTTGATCATCATAGGAGGCGCAAGGTATTCTTGAATCTACACAACAGCAATATGGGTATAACCAAGGCACTATGTGAAACTGGTAGCCCTTGTGTATGGAGCCACCCATGCTGATTAAAATAAAGAGACAGATGCACCTAATTCCACACTACACCTACTCAGCAGGCTAAGGGTGTCTGGCAGGGCTTATGCCAGTTCCCATTTGTCTAATTTATTATTCTCTCTGCCCATTCTGCATAGCTTTCCTCTGTATCACCTTTAGGAAAACAGAAGCCACTATTCCAAGCAAAAACAGTATGGAAGCATTTAAACAGAGCTAAAACGGAGAGCACGTGGTGGTCACAGAGATGAAGCACAAAATGGGGATACTGCAATCATCCTAACACCAAGCATGGGAAAACCACGAAATTTCAGGATTTTAGTTAAAGAAAATTCAAAATGTGTTATTAACTTTAACTTGGCCCTGCTGGAATGCTACAAAAAGAAAAGCAGGCAAAAATATATAGGGGGAAAATGCATGGATATTTTACATAGAAATTTAATCTGTGACCACAAATGCTAAAACACTGATCATGGTCAGATGGGTCTGCAGTCATTTTTAAGGGCTACTGATGGAGAACAGCACAGAAATTCAGCCTTTAACTGTCAGAAATATAACCATGACGGCTATATAGAGGATTTCAGTGCCTTAAAACTAACTGTAGTGAAGTTAAAAGAGTTTATGGCAGGACAGAGTTAAAGGTGGTCATATCAGACTAAGTATTGTTACAATACAAACAGCTTGGTACACCTTTGGTCCTCATTTTCTTCAAGGTAAATGATCAAGACTGAAATAACAAAAATACGGACTCTTTAATTCGCAATGTGTTGAAAGCACAGGAGTTTGACAGACAGATACATCAGGACTATGCCTCCAGGGAAGCATCTTTCACTTTGCAGATGGAAACAGTGAGACTGACCAGCGAAGTCACTTGTCAGGCCATGCAGCAAGTCAATTCAGTAGGGGATGGAAATATCCTGGGACAAGTTTTCACAGCTCACAAGTGGATGACAGCATGCTGATAGACTTAGCTGGGCCTAGAGCAGGAGCCAGAGCCTTGAACAAACTGCCCTCTCAATCTGCTAGCATTGCCTTTCTACAGCTTGCTGATGTACGCTACTCCTCCTTAGCTCTTGTTCCCTTTATCATCTTTCCCTCCTATCATGACAGTATTTTTTTTAATTTGTCCCAAAATCCTGACTGCCATTAGCTTCCATCCCACTGATGCACTAGACCTATTCCTGGAGCATGAATTCACTTCTGTAAGATTTCTCATACTAAGAGAGTTTCTTTGTGGAGCCTCTGCAGTGAAATGCACAAATACAGTTAAGTCCTGACTAGGGCTTAGGCCACTTTACACCATACTGCACAACATTCCTTTTTTGATTAATTGAATAAGGCTAGTTTGGAAAGTTTCTTCCTTGAAATCGAAGACTTGTCTTGTCATTAGGTAGTGCAATATCTTAGTCTAAACGGGTGCTCTTGACTTCCCTTACTCCACAACACTTTCAATTCTCTTAACGAAGCCATAAGGTGAAAGAGAAAATAGGCCTAGCTTTCTTGTTTTTTTCTGCAGCTCCTTGGTAACAAGAGGGAGCCCAGATCTGATTACCCTAAAATACTGTCTGACCTTGGGAAAATAATTCCAGCTTTCATTGTCAAAGGAGCTGAGACAGACTTGGTGCTGTCATGAGCAGCATAACTTGGGCGTGGGTTATCTGGTATGAATATTTCAAAACCTTATTTTCCCTGGTCATAAAGTAAATGTAAACTAATATCCTATTTCATACTGCCATCTAAAAATGTAGGCCACTAACGTTTGCAAACGCTCCGAGACCCTTTAGGAAATGGCCTGAAGAAAGGAAAAGCAAAGCAGTCATATTTTTAATTTTAATAAGTTTGACTAGCACACCTAGCTGTCATTTTTGTGCCTGATTAGTGGCAATAGGCAGTTTCCCATTTAATTCCAGGCAGCTGCTAGAGAAGAGCTGCAGGCAGATGTAATCTGGAGACTGCAGAACTCAGCTCAATGTCAATTTCACACCAGCATTTACTTTCTTCTACTCCCATTTATTATTAATCTGTATTTACATCTAACTCCAGCTCTTAGTCAGCCTCTGCCAGAGGCTTTAACCATTAGAGGTAACTATGAGGAAGGAAGGACAGAAGGGAAAAGAAGAAACTGCCATGAACTTAGCTTTTACCTCTCCTTATAGTTTTGGGGAGATGAGAAATTATACAGAGACAAGGATATTTAGAAAGCCAATAGCTGGCACTGCAGATCAGACCAGCAGGCCTCTTTGTCAAGTCTGCCGCATCTTTAGCGCTAGATGTGTCAACAAAACTGCCCTATCACAGTTCATTCTTTCTAAGCATGCTTACTTGGTTCCTACTCTTTACAGGGCTTTATATCCTTTTAAAATTTCTATCCATTCTAATTCAACAGTGGATGTTCTTATATTTCATGTTTTCTGAACCTACTAAGCTCTCGGACTCAGTAAGACCGTTTCACATTGAGGTCCACATAAGCATGGTATAAAAATATACTTTTCCCATCAACTTTCAATGCATTGCCTTTTTAACTTGATATAAGAGCAAGGAGTTTCAATAATGAGAAGATAAACGGGAGTACCCGATTCACTTTCTCTGTCCTCTCCAAAGTAAACAATTTTAATTAAAGCAGCAGAATTAATACCATTTGTTTTCCACCCATAATTTTTGGGGCTTCAAATCTTTTTCATTTCTTGTCTATTTCTCTTTTATCACTTCTGAGTGGAGCTGAACAGTGTGTTCCAGGTGAGACAACAGCATTCATTTAGTAATAGCATTCTGTATTTTCCAGACCATTCCTTACTCATCTCTACATTTTGCTCTCTTGTTTTTCTTTCACTTTACTGAAAATGAGAAGCCCACTCAGTGTCATCTTTCTGCTGGAGGTAAGATGAATGTAATTCATTGCAAAGATTGTTCATAAATCTTCCAGAATGGAGAAAAAGACATCAAATATACATGCCGTGCATGATAACATTTCCCACAGCAATGTGGGAGGCACTGAATTTATTGCACACATCCTCCAAAAGTTCCCATATATCCAGAAGGCCTGCAAGTCCAGATCTCAAATTAGATTCTGGACATTCTTCCCCAAGTCTTTTGCAGCAGAAGTAGCTTCAGCAGTCTACCTAGCCAAAGCATGATTTCATTTCATTCTGCCTGACACAAGCATTATTGTCTTTAAGCATCCAATGGGAACGTAGTTAGACACTGAGAAAAATCCATCTTCAACTTATTCTCAATGTTCAGTCATAATGAAGGCTCTTTAGCGCTCCTCCTCCAAACCTCTTCCTTTCTGTGAAGCCAGGAATCTAGAGATGGAAAAGATGTCACATCAGAATCAGCATGAACTCCCTCCAGCCCTCATTAGTGTGCCTGTTACCAAGCCAACTGCAACAATGCCTTCCTCTTCCATGCGGGCTCCTGAATCAGGACTGAAGAAATGCTTCAGCCTACTGCTAGAGGAGCAACATCTATAAAACACAATATAAAACTGAAGCCTGGATCATTTGTGCTTCAGAGTTCCCTAAGGCTTTTGGCAAGGGTTGCAACGAAAGCCTTAATTTCTCAGGCAAATGCTAAACCATCAGAAATTCATTAGAAATTTCCAAGTCCCTGTTTATCCCAGTTTCAATTGCATACAGGAATCTTTCTTCCCCTAATTTTTAAAACTACAAAATAGTGTTAGCATGTTGTAATAAATGGCTGTTGAGACTTAATCCCTCCTACCCTGAGACAGCAGCACTTCACTCCTAGTGAAGTTGAAAGGACAGTTGGTGAAAAGCTTTAAGAAAACCGTCAGAAGAGAAAAGGCTGCAAACAATGCAAAGGATTATCACTTCTGCTTTTGCACAGACGCAGCTTACTTACTTTGTGACAATCAGTGCTTACAAAGAAAATCTACTCCAAACCATCACAAGCTTCTCTGGCTTAATGGTATTGCAAACAGATTTGCAATTCTATGCACTCATGAATCCCATAAAAGAGACTCAATGATCTCTAATACTGTATTAGAGGGTTGTCCTACTGGTGACAGCATGAAATGATGTGATTACAGTCTAGAAGTAATTCTAACTATACATAAATAGAAATCAGAGACTAAGTAAACGCATTCCAAAAGCAATCCCATGTTTTCATAGCAAATACAGTATACTAAGAAGGAAGGTGTCAGCCAAGCACTACAGATCAAACAGTTGCCCAAAGCCAGGAGAATGTGGGCATGTACGGATAGCATGCAAAGAGAATGCAATTTACAGTACAAAGCAGACTGCTTAAGATACACACCTGATTGGCAAATCAAAAAAGCTAAAGAGCTTACCCAAAATGAAAGTGCACTGAAGAAACACAATTTATATATTAAAGATTAAATTAAAAATTTAAATTAAAGAGGATGGGGCCAGACTCTTCTCAGTGGTGCCCAGCGATAGGACGAGAAGCAACGGGCACAGACTGAAACACAGGAAGTTCCATATGAACCTAAAACCTTCTTGACTGTGAGGGTGACTGAGCGCTGGAACAGGCTGCCCCGAAAGGTTGAGCGTCTCCTTCTTGGGAGATATTCAAAAGTTGTCTGGACAGGGTACTGGGCAACCTGCTCTAGGCGACCCTGCTTAAAGAGGGAGGTTAGACTAGATGATCTCCAGAGGTCCCTTCCAACCTCAACTGTTCTGTGATTACGTAATTTAAATTTCATAAGGGTTTTCAGGCCCAAGACTCAAACAGATATGCAATGTATTCATCAAAGAATTATTTTGTTCAACTCTAAAAAGCAACTATCCCCAGGGGAAAACTCGGCAATTTCACACAACAGTTTGTCTAATCAAAACTGCTTTGGGAATTCAGGAAAGAAAAATGTCATCATTATAACTCAGAAGTAGCAGGATACTCTTGCAAAAAATTTCTCTCTTTTAGCACTTCTAACATTAAAGTCACTAATTAAGAGGAACTATTATCTCTTTATCTTAGATCTGACTGATATCATAGCCACAAGCAATTTAGAACTTATCATGCTCTTCACTCTGAAGAATTCTATAATAAAAATGACCTAAAACATGAATCATGGAAGAGACCTGTTGTAGAATACCCAGAAATGCATTTATAAAATTTACATTAAATAGATCATTTCAAATAATAACATTAAGAGGTTACACTGAAATTTTCAGTTCCCATTTGGATTTTGTCTCTTTAAATGCGACTGTCCACTATTTAAAATTCATTTTAAGCTTTTGAGCTGTTGACAGTTAAGCAGATCAAAGAAGTCATCAGCAAGCTGTAATCTCTGGCACATGACCAGAATGAATATAATCTCTGGTTAATCACTAAAAGTGATCAAATAAGATAAATAAAAATCTTACATCATGAATCAAAGACAGCCAACATACCAGCAGATTTCTGCATTAAGCTATTATCTCTATGAAAGTGAGACTTCCTTCTACTAGAACGTGGAGGCGGGGGCAGAAAAAGGCATCTTGCAGAATTGAAATGGGAAAAAGTAAATTTGTTTTTAAAAGGCAGAAGAAAATCCTCATGAAAAGTAAGCATTATGTAATCCCTGATTCTTTTTTTTCCCCACTCTCCCTAAGGCATTTTCAGCACAGCTATATTTAGTTATACTTTTGATTGTATTTCAGTGGTGCTATTTGCTGTAATTTGCAAGCACCTTGCAATTATGATCAGCAAAACCTCACTATCCTCTGCAGGGTAGACTGCAGATGGGAAAACGAGGGGCAGAAGAAAGCTGAAGTGACCTGTCCAAACCAAGAGAGCCATTTTGCTAGTTCTTCACCAACTTCACTGAAACCAGGTAATTCAACCATTTAGGAATGAATTACAGCTGGTATCATACTGCCATTCTTCTGGTGGCTCCACTTGTTCTACAAAAACTACCTGCAGAAAACATAAAATGCTGGGTCCAGCTGTGAAAATGGCCTTTTGATTGACATTCAAGACAGCATCTCTGGCCTAAATCTGCAACAGATCAGAGTGAAGCTGCGAGATCAAAGAGATACTATTTTCCCCTTTTATCTCAGTCTTGCAAATTCCACTGCGTTAGCATTTTTAATTATTTCACTGCCAATCATAATTTCACTGACAAAAGTCAGCCAATTTTCTGCCCATGCAAAGCAGTTGTGCTCCCACAGATTTAAAAAGTCAGCTACCAGCACGAATTAGCATTCAAGTCACACAAAGCCCGTATCTTAAACGGAACTCTATCAGCAGACAGCATTACACTGGGAGAAACAAAACAAAAAAGGAGTAAAACATAACAAACCTGATTGCCATCTCTTAAAAAGTATCTCTTCTCTATGACCTGGGAAAAACAATCAGAGAATGATCTTAGCAGGCACAACACATTCATAACCTCGGACTCCAATCAGCGCTTCACACATGAGCACTGAAATTCATGGCTAAGTGAGGGGAAGAGGGATCTGAACCCAAGTCTCCTGCTCAAGGCTTATTGCTCTAAGCGCTAGGCTATTGCATATAAAAGGAGTTGACATCTCCAGCATCCTTAGAAAAGCTGCATTATCCTCAAGTTCTACACACTTAATGTAATTAGCCCCTTTTAGTAATGGAGGTCTTCAGTTCTGGGTGTCTCCTTACTGCATCAGAGTCAATGTTATTCCCACCTCTCTGTGCAGGCAGGGTGGTTCTGGGCACCTGCCAAAGCTCATACTTGGGAAATTCTGCAGGTGCCATAACAACTTCAATGGTTCTGAGGAGCCCCCCCAGGCATCAGGTATATTTCAGGTAGCCTGACTCGCTCTCCAGGAATGACCCCCACACTCTCTATGCTGAAGGATACCTGTGGAGGCAATACTGTCAGTCTAAGAATCAAAAGTAATTTGCATCACTCTGTACAATCTGTTCCCTCCTCCAAAGGAAATTCATGACAAATTTCCTCTTTTCTAAAGCACAACCTGTTACGATCACTCTGTCCAGGGGATAAAAAGCGGCTTAAATCAGAGCATTTCTTCTGTCATTTTCACAGTACGCCTTGATGTGCTCTCCTGTGCCGGAGGGAGAATAACACATTTTTTCATTCCTGAGGCTTGCTTTAACAGGAGCAACAGTGCTAACCATAGCTTTACAATGCCCTGCGCTACTACCCTAGCATGCTGCAAACCCTCTGGCCTGCCAATCGATTCCAAAAGTGTATGCAGAGTTTTTGCACATTTGTGAATTCTTTTTCACTGCTCTATGCAGATCAAGAATCAGGTTTCCAAGAGCAGAGTAATCTTTGGCCTCCCCATACCTGACCTGAACCAGCTCAAAAAGTGGAAAGTGAAAAGAGTAGGTAATTCTTTCCATGCTCAAAGCACAGACAGGGTTCAATACACGGAACAGTAAAACTTAATTGACTTGACTTACCTTATCAAAAAACCTGCTTAGCTTGACAGCATTGGATGAGCCTGCAGCCAGATAACGAGGATTGGTGCAATCCTAGAACATACAAAAGACAACAACATACTCAGCACAAGGAAATCAACACAAGGAAGCCATACACAGGGGAAATCAAACCCCTTTCCCTGAAAAAGGCACATGCAATCATTTAAGGCAAATACAGTATACCTGCTCTGATCTCAGCTTCATAGTCCTTTGAGAGAAAAACAATGATTTGTAAATAAAGTGGACCAAAGTGGTTGGGAAGGGATAACCAAGTGTTAGCCTTTTAAATTTAGATATAGAAGAATGTTTCCTTTGCTACAGAGTTTTGGAGATGGGAGGTTTGAACACAAAATCTAAACTTAGTTCCTCAAGACAAACAGTAGCCAAATGGTTTTCGAGGTATAATATCAGGAGATGATATAGATATAACCCTAGCCAGATACTGAGCAGATACTAGCCTGACCTGCACAATAAACTGACTTTTCTTGAAAGAAGTAGAAGCAGCAACCTTCCTTAACACTGTCCCATATCTCCAGCCTGCCTTGAGGTTAGGCTCCTCGCACTGGAGCAAAGGCCTGTTTCCCTGCTGTGAAGGAAGCAACCTGAAGATTCCAAGACTCTCCCTCTGCTCTTCACATTTGCCTTTGGCCACCAGCTATACAGCCAGCTAATGATTTTTATAGGCTGCATACAAGTTTGTGTGTGCATACAGGCATTCATACAGCACACACACACATAAATATGCATCAAAATAAGTAACATGGGGTCTTGACATTTCATTCAAATATAGTCTGTGTCAGAACTAAGAACAGGAAAGAGAAAACTTAACTCGCAGCCATCAATTCTAAACTCAGACCAGCTTATCTATCCCCCCTACATATCCCTATAATGAAAGACAGCCTATCACTTCTTCAAGCAAGGGGGACTGCCAATCAAAATGTGCATGACTCCAGCATTACTGAGAAATTCTCCAGAAGCCCACTTTTTCTAACAAGACATTTGCCTACTGAAAAACAGAATCACTGCTACATGAAAGAGAAATAACGCTGGTGGCAAAAATACTAACCAAATTGATCTCTTCAGCATTGAAATCCTCAGCCAGGAAAGCTGTTCTGGTTAAAACTTCATTCCGCTTAGTTTCTGGGATCTGATCCAGTTTAGTTCCTATTACCAGCAGTGGAATCTGGTTATCAGCAAACTGTTCACGGTCATAGTCACTGTTGAAGAAAACAAATACAAATCGTGGATGGACTGATGGCCATCTAAGCGGCACAGCTCAGGGAGCTGGCATCTCTGAACGTCAAAAGTTCCTACAAATATTTTTAAGGAGGGACGAGGAAATAAATTGCCACTGTGAAACACTACCTGTTTCCATGTTATACCAAGGATAGTTGCAATAATATTTTTGAGGTGTCAAGTTACTAAGTTGTCCACATTCAGGTAAAGATAGCTACTGTAAGCTGAATTCCAACAAGCCTTGATTCAGATACAAACAATTAGTAAAGATGCCCTACACAAGATAAATAATATTGTAATAAAATATGTCATTACAAATACAAGCACCAATCATTCCCCTCAACTAGGATGCTCAATTGTCTTTCCTTTTTATTTAAGCCAAGATTAACACTGAGAACTTAGTCCAGCAATTGCCACAGACTAGGCATGTGTCCCTGACAGAAGTGAAGCCTTCAAAAATTAAAACAGTCATAAGGAGTTTTTATGTGGAGAAAACAGAAGAAAATTGCAGCTCATGTAATGCACTCCCTCTTCCTTTTCACATGTTTCTAAAAAAGCACCCGTACACCAGCACAGACAGATAAACAATTGTGGCTTTCCCCCCCTTGTGTGAAGTGCTCATGCATGTGATTTATCCATTATCTGAAAACCTCCTTGCTTGTATGGATAACAGCAGCATGAAGATATAGCAGGAAATACTTGACAATACAGTGGGAAGCTAATTATGACCATGATCTTTAAGCAGATTTCTAAGCCAGACTCCTGGCTTAAATTTGAGCAAGCTTTCTTGCTCCTGGTGCAGTGAGGGAAAGCCTGTTGGAACAGAGATGCTACATAACACTTCCTGTAAAATGGCTTCGCATGTCTCAGAAAAAGACGTATACAAGTCTTTGGGTATCAGGAAATGGACCCACTCTCACACAGGCCTCAGACAAATAAAGGACACAGTAAAGATCTTTTCGCTTAAACCACGTTTGACTACAGTCAAATAATTTGGGAATCTAGATGCAGAATGACCTGCTCAGCAGTGTGAAAAAAAGAACATTTTTCTTTCGTATCCCGTTTTCTTCTTTCTTCCTTACGAGTCTAGCCCTCTCTAATTTCCTATGGATTTCAAGTAGCTTAGGGAAGACCGAATACTTCTAAAACAGCCTAGAATCATTGTGTCATAGAGCACAAGTATGCTTTTCACTCACCCGTTTGTCACTAGAACTCCCGTTGGAGCGACATCTCTGTTGAGTGCTTCCAAAGACCAGCGATACAGATTCTGGGATGACTTCTTGTTGGTTAAATCATGCACTAAAATTATCCCTAAAGTAAAAGAGCAGGCAGCAAGATGCTATTTCATGATATACAGTTTTTCCTTTTCCTATCAAAATGGCACCTGCAGGTTCCCAGACGTCTGGGAACTAAGACAGGGAAAGATAACTCGTTGAACTACAGGGAATGAGTTAAGGTGAAAATACGAAAATGCAGCAGTTTTTTAAAGCTCCTTCTCAGGAGTTGGATAAGAAGAAAAACCCAGGAAAGGAGGAACAGAACATCCATCTTAGGTTTTAATTTGCAACAGGCTGGCAGGCATTCCCCAATTCTGTTCTAATCCTCTAATAATGTAATCCTAATGATACTGAAACTCTGTATTAACACAGCAGAGAATTCAGCCTTTCACTGTTCTACCTAGCTGGTAAACACACAACTCTTTTCTTGTCACACAATCTAAGAAACAGAAAGGCTGTTTTGGGGCTGGGGGTGGGTGGGTTCTGAAGGGTTTACAGAGCACTATTACCTTCCCACAGTTTCAAGAACTAATGCCATGCACTTGTGGAGGTATCCAAAGGGGAAATAGGCTCTGATGAACTTTCACAGTCCACCAAACGCTTGGTAAGAACACGCGCTAATACGATTCCATGTAGTCAAGAAAAAGCTTCTAGCATTTTTCATTACCGTGAGCCTTCAAAATGTAAATCCTGAGATAGGAAAATTGCTAGCCAAACTTTCTAGCTGTGCTGTTAACAGACACCCACTTCTGATAACCAGAGTTCCTAACTCAATTATCAACTCCTGCTAGCAAATATCTTCTATTTATTCACACCTTCTGCCACCTGTGGAATGCTCCCACTTTCTCCAGACTTTAAACCATCACTTATTCAAGGATAAGATGCAATTATACCTCTCATCGCTATCGGGATTTGTTCTCAATACACATTTCACAGCCCACAGGTGTACAAAATTTATTTCATTTAATCTTTCATCGGTTACCTCCCAAAGATGCCACCCACTGTAAACACTAAGAGCAAACCACATAGCCGCATTTTCCACTACCCCACACTACTTTGCACAGAGACTCCTATGAGAACTCTACAAGAAAACGAGCACCTCCTCAACATGTCACAACAGTATCACTCTTTCAAAGCCTTTATCTCAGTACTAGCAGAAAAAGAGCAACTTGACCTTGCGTCCACCCCCCAGTACAGAGAGAGAAAGCCTGATGCAAAAAAAATTGGCTTATGGCAACAGATTCAGAGGCCCTGCTGCATAACTTGCAAGAAAATTCCTCCTCTTTCAGGCATCCTTAACCTAAATAACGACCTCTCTCCCCTATTTACACTTTTCGTTGGTCAGTTTCCTTACTTGCCTCGCTCAAAACTACACAAGTAGTTGGACCGGCGGAAAAGACTGTGTCAACATCAATAAAGAGCAGACAAGACCAAGGACTATTGTTCCTGCTACATAAATGTCTGAAAACCACAGCCTTGCTACCTGTTCACTGTCTCGGACTATCACCGTGCACAAAACAGATGCAGGCTCATGAAAGCTGATGATCTGTGGCCATACCAAAAGTGAATGATACCTCACCTCCTCAGCAACCAAGTCTCCCTGACAGTCTGCACAGATGCTGCTATAACCAAACATTAACTGTCTTTTGATCTCAGACTTCTCAGATCACTGCAAGCCCAGAAAGGACAAGCAGTCAGGCAGAAGTAATGCGCTCCTCTTCTCGCATCAGGTCAAAGAGAGGCAATTTGTGAGACAAGCTCTAATGAAGAAATGTATCTAATGAAAGAAACTAGAGCCAAGGCTAACTACCAGAGACTACAATTTTCATATGCGAACTGGCTAATGTCTTTCGGGCAATGGTAATAAAGCAACCCAATTTTCATAATTCCATCAATTAGAAGTCAGATACAAAAGTTCAAAACTTCATCTCCTCATGTGCTGCTCTAGGATATTTCCAAGTCTGACCAACACGAACTGTAATATTGTGGATTTGGTGCCAAAAAGAAATCCACTTCTTCTATACACCAAAGCAGCTTGCTTTAAGGCCTCTGCTTTGAGGGCACAATTCAGCTCAGCCTTACTTAGAGGGGTCTTGTTGTATAATGTAAGCAAAAGGCACCTACGCACAATTTTTCTCCTGGGAAAGGGGAAATAATCATAATTATGAAGGGCCCTCAGATGATGATGACCAAGAAATGAGAATCGAAATAGAACATCCGGGACTAAGTTTTCTGAAGCAGTCATTAACCTAGCATACTCTTATTTTCAGTGAACTGTCCTTGCATGTCAAATAGATAGTACCTGTTAGTATCTAGATAGTATCTAATGAGATACTGCATTTTAAATACTATATTCATAATATCTTATACGCTACTTCTGTGTTCCAGATGAACTACTAGACCTACAGGTCACTATTTCAAAAGAAGGGATGCCATTTTTTCCAAGGCATAAACTCTATCTTTCTATTAACAGCAAGTTGCAAGAATTAATTACTAAAAATCACTTGCCAAATTAAGCGAACAGAGGGCAAGACGGTCATCAGATTCTTGCAATGTTATGGGAGATCTGTTCAAACTTGCCAGGGTGGGACATAACCATCAAAGTTCATGTACGTGCTTTATGGGCAGTAAACTTTTCCTTGGTTTAGATTTTGGAACCAAACAGACAAGGAAAACATAAATTAAGTCTCTGAATTAGACCTGGAAAGGTGAAACCAGCTCTCACATCTACAAGGATAGCTGGAAGGGACACCACTGCAACTTCAAACATCCCCTGTCGTGCCCGTTGCACAAGGCTGGGATAGTGACACAAAGTAAAATGCTGGATGAAGCTCATTTGCACAGGCTTGCCTGAAATAGTTTTCCAGTTCAAAACTGAGTCCATAAAATTCTGCTGAAGAATGGTATCACTCGTTCCTGTATAAATGTACTGGAATGAGTACAGAGAACACCACAGCCCTCAGCCAGACTCAAGGAATCCTGCTCCAAAGCCAAGAGACAGCTTACAGCAGAAAGTGACAAAAACAGATTTACTCCAAGCAAACTTACCATTCAGCAAGTTATAAAATACTGCTCGTGTGCTTTTCACGCTAGTGGCACTGCCCACTGAACCGCCAACATCCCACAGCTCAATATAGTAGGTCTTCTCTTCTGGAGTCCCTTCTTTGTAGTCATGAATCTGATGGAAAATTCAGACCATACGTAATCACAGCATTACCTTGCAGGAGTTAATCCACACAACACTTAAACATTCAGCTGCAATGACTACTGCATTTGGACAGAAATTCGTAAATTCTAACACTGACATCATTTGAAATCTCTCAAGTAGAAGAGGACTGACTGGATTGAGTCAGGCAACGACCACGGCGGTCACTGCAGTTCCTACAAGAGATGAAGCTTGGTGAGTCAGCAGGGAACATTCTTTCCTCCTAAACACTAGCAAACCTAATGACTCATGGAGTGCTTGGACACAATGTGCTGCTAAAGCAGGTGAAAAGATGAGGTTGTGATTTCTCGCAGTTGTTAAAAATCACATGACAATACTGCATAATTAAGAATATTAGCATGGCTGACTACACCAGATTTAGACTGACCACATCTTTTTACTCCTAAATTCTCATCGACATGTCAAGTGAATTAATCAAATAGCAATTTTCCTCCCAGGATTTGCTGCGTAGTTTTGCTCCACAGTCAAATACAACTGCAACATTTCTTTCCCAAAATTTTGGGAATATAATTTGGCATTCTTTGAGATAAAACTCCTAGACAATAGGACAGGATCATTCCTAAGCTACCGCAAAGCATTTTAGGGAGAATGTTGCATACAAGGAAGGAAGGAAGCATTTATCACTATCCCAAAAGGACTGCAGGTAGGCCAAAAACTACCAGATGAGTAAACTCACAGTCCCCCGATACTAGGCGCCGTGATGAGTAGACTGCAACAGAAGCAATCCCATGGTCATGCTAGAAATCCTCAAATCAAACAAACAGCCAATTCTGTTCTCCAATGTTTGGCTGACAATTTAATTGTGCACTGACTGTTTCTCAGGGAAGCGTAGTGCAAGTTCTGTATCCTCTGATTTAAATGGGCTGCTCATCAACTTATAACACTTCAGTGGTCACTGCGATAAGGAGGCTCTATGAATGACAAGAATCTTTGCTTCTTTAGTTAGCAATCTTGTAAAGTCACAATTTGCTCACACAAGTGCTCTGCACATATTTGATACTTTTTCTTCTAACAGTTTTCAACTTTACAAAACACTGAAACACACCTCTTTCTGTGGGGCAAAGTAATGAAAACAACAAATTAACTAAAGACTGGAATCAAATTCCAAAAATCTAAGAATCTTGCTTTCAAGCTTATTTAAGTTCAAGCTCATTTACATCCCTTAGAAGAATGAAAGTCTGAATCAGCCCAGCTGAGAGTTGAGCTTGTAACAAAAAGCCCACAACACGGGAAACAAGGTCGATTTCCTCTTTCGCATTTTAAATTATGTGTACTTAAAAAAAAAAAAAAAAACGCCTGGAATATCACCTACTCGAACATCCACCGAGCAGCCCACTGTCCAAGATGGATTCCCCAACACCTGGTTTTGGCATAAGAGGTGAACTAGTGAAGACTTCCCAACACCTGCAAACGCATGTAGAGAACAACACCCGATCAGTGGACGTGTCTGGGATAAAAACAGCTAAAAAGGCGGCGAGATAACCGACAGAAGCCCTCAACGAACCACCGCGTTTGTGCAACGCGCGGCCAGGGCACCGCCGTCAGTCCCTCCTGACTCGAAGGCGAGTCCGAGGCCGCCGCGCCAGGCGCCCGTTAACGGCCAACGGTCAGTGCCCCACGGCCGCGGGCACGAG